ATGAGAATTCCTAGCGTTGCCGCGACGTGATGATGAAGAACACCGGCGGCGAGGTGCCGGCACAGCATGACAGCTCGTCTTGGACACGAGCCAGGATCGTGAGGATACTGAAAGGTGCTTCCGGGGCACAATCTCTCACGACGGACCTGACGGCTCGTTGCGCTTCTCATCCGAGGAGAAAAGCTAACTTGGGGTTTCATTTTCATTTTTTTTTTCTACTGTGTGTGTGTGTCGAAAAGTCATCGCGCCGCATCGGAAACAGATTCCCGTTCTGTATACTCATTTTCACTTTGAGTCCTACCGCAGTCGACGTATACGAATTGACGTAGCCAATCAAGCACCACCAAAAGCGCACCGTCATGGCACTCGTCGTCTTTGTGGGTTTCCTATCACCGACCATAAACCAAACACCCTTAGTGAGTGCAATATCGTGAACTTTAGAACTCAGAGCCGGCATATCAAGAAGCTCGGATAAAATCGTGTTTGCTCTCTTGAGGTATGTTCCACAACTTCTGGAGGACGAAAAACCGTTTCCCGAGATTTCCGGTACTGGGCAGTTTTAGGGAACCGTTTTTGCACTTCCGATACGCTACGGTAGGCCTTCCGGTATGAACTGCGCATGCGCTGCGACAGAAGACTCGCACATGCGCAGTTGGCACCGGACGGCCCATGGACTCACAGCAATCATTTTAAGGGCGAGATGGCTATAGGTGGCGCAAGCTACCGCCCGTTTAGAAAGGGTGCAGCGCTTAGCCTCCATCCGTGGCTAAAGTGTCTACTTTGGGGAGCGTAGCTTAATTTAGTAGATCTAGCGTTACCGTCGACCATTCGTACCACTTGCAGGAAGGGAATTCTGCTGACCGCAGCCATGGAAGACCGATCTCACTAATGCTGCATTTGAACATATGGCGTTCGAATAGCAACCAACCGAAATGCGGATCCGCTCGTTTTCTTCTTCGAATGCGCATGAAACTGCACTGAATCTTTAAAGGGATGGTGAACCGAATTTTGGATTTCAGAAAATAACAATGCAGGAGATGTAGGCGGGACGCTACAATCCCTACAACACTACTCGTAAGGCGATATCTCGAATGGACGGTTGTATTTTTTGGAAAAAGAGGTCGAGATTGAACCAGGCCGACGAGGCGCGTGACCGTCAAGATATCCAGTTTCCTCCTCTCTTCGCTTCGCTCCCTCAAGCCCGCGAGGCGAAGACGCGAGGCCGTTCCCTCTCCTTCTCGGAGAAACATGACGTCAACATTTCTGTCAAATGCGCCTCCTTTTCGTGAAAAATAGGTCATCCGTTCGAGATATCGCTGTATGAGTGATGTTTTGGTGTTTGTAGCATCCCATTGCATGCTTTTGCCGCGTGTTTTGGGGAATCCAGATTTCGGTTCAGCATCATGAAACGACATCGGGTTGGAATGTTCGTGACTTTATATAGAGGCGTTTACTGGTCCTGGTCAGAACCAAGTATATTCGCGCGGACCGCCACTGATTCAGAAGCTTCTTGGTCGCGGTGAGATTGCTATAGTATATTAAGAAGCCCCATTTCTTTCATTCTTGCCTTCGCAAAGCTCGATGACGTCATTGTGGGATCGAAATCACCCGCCTGACGACAGTCGAGCGCGGCTCGTTGATTGGACACGAGAACTCCGTTGAGCACTCGGCTTCGGCTCGTAACTATCAACGCCTCGGCAGACACTCGGGTAGCGGCCTGTGTCTATCCACTGCAGTGATGACAACAGCCGAACTCTATAACAATGCCTGGAGCTCAGCGCGCGTTTTCTTCTTTTTTCCTACCCCAGCGCGTGGCTACGATTGACGTTGGCGGCATGGGATAGGCACCATTCCACGTGGCCGCTTGTTCTGGCTCCGAGTGGAGGGAATGAACGATGCAAATTTTCCTAAATTTTTTTTTTTTTTTTGGCGACTGCAATTGACCAGGAGGGAAAACTAAGACAATTTTATTCGGTTATTAACGTTATGGAGCGATTCTAAGCAGTATTTAGAGAAAGTAAGAAACTCGTTTCATGGCCCCTTCACTGCTCATCCATCATACAAAAGACAGTCTGCAAACACGAGTCATCGATATATCCGTGGTTCGAATGCCACGTGCCAAGTTTCTCCTTGAACTCGTTGCCATGCAGCATTCGAAGTACGGCTCTTGTGGGGGCTCGCGTTCGAACCCCGGGTTTAAGCAACCGCATTCGCGATTGCAGTTAACAACCGCCCATGTGGATGAGGCAGAAGCGTTCGGCGCATGCGTGATGCCGCCAGAACTTTAGCTCAAATGGAGGTATGCGTGCACGAGAGGACTTGTGTCTTGCACGTGCAGAACTACAGCGAGGTTGTTCAACGTGCACTGAGACTGAACTCCCTTTCACGCAGGAGCGTTCGCATGCGTTTTCTTATACGTTGCAAGTCACCGAAACAAACGAAAACTCCTTGAACTGGTTGCCGCGTTTCGTATACGAAGTCCGGTGGGCTCTGGACGTACGCAGACTGGCTGGTGATGTCGATCTATATTTACGATCGGGCGTGCAGCTCTTAAGCTTGCTGAAGACACGATCGCGAGCACGCAGACTATGCACGCTACCCATTATGAGTAGTCAAATTACTTATTAATTCCTTTTTTATGTAGTTGTGTAATAATTTGATTACTTTTATTACGAGGTAATCACGGAAGTAGTTTGAGTACTTTTGGAAGTACCGAAATTCCTTGTAACCATACAAAACTTGAAAGTATAAAATAGAGAGGACGAGGACGGGAACAGGACATCTTTCATTTAGCAACAACATAGAACATTTCTATGTTGTTGCTAAATGAAAGATGTCCTGTTCCCGTCCTCGTCCTCTCTATTTTATACTTTCAAGTTTTGTATCTATTAACCAACACGCTCGTTTTCAATTGTAATCCTTGTAACCGTAACTGTTTTTGCCTCCGCTACTTTAATCGTACAAGTTTTTTTCCGGGAAACCCACAAACAAAGTGTCTGTCAGGAAAACATGGTTTAACGAAATTGGCGGATTAAGAAGGTAAGTAGTTAATACTTTGGCGAATCTAACCCAACAATAGAGCATTTTAGGGAACCGTTTTTGCACGTCCGATATACGGTGCGATGGGCCTGGCCTCCGGTACGCACCGCGCATGCGCAGTGCGCACCGGAGGGCCCATCGTATATCGTATCGGATGCGCAAAGACGGTTCCCTAAAACTCTCTAACGAACAGCACGAAATGCCCGTTTTCAAACCAGCAAAGAAATCAGTCGTTGTTGAAAATGTGAAGCAATCGGAACAGTAACGGTTACTTTTCCAAGTAACGGTCACTTTTCTTCTCGGGTAATCAAGTTACCTTGCTGAATACTTTTTGACCGAGAGTAATCGCAATAGAAATCGATTGTTGTTGTTGGTTTTTTTTTTTCAGTAACGTGTACAAGACTGCGTGTGCACATTGCATGTGCTTCCACGCGTGCAGCCGTCCTTCCAAGCGCATTAACGGACCACCATAGTTATCTGTGCTTCGCTTGAATGCATGCTGGCAAGCGAGCTGCGAGCTACCGATGGGGAAATATTGGTCACCTAAAGTGGTTCCCCGGTGGAACTCTCTGCCGTTTATCGTTCGTTGGCGCTCGTCAGTTATGTTTGTCGCTAAGTGGGAAGGGCCAAGAGGCAGCACCCGACACAAGGGGAGGGTAACAATACACAAAATAGGTAAAATTTCACAAAACAACGAGCGTGCATGAAAAAAAAAAAATGAAAAAATCAAGAGGGCACTTGTGGGAACAAAATATACTCTGTATTAGACCTAAAATGCGATTTCACGTAATAGTTTATTAATTTTGTTGAATCATGAGTAGCTACAATATTCCGGGGAAGATCGTTCCAATTAATAACAATACTTAAAAAAAACCTGAGTAGTCAGTGTTTTGTTTTCGGGCGCCTTACATCGAGGTTTTGACCTGCAGGGTTGTTAGCGTTCTGAAGGAACAATGTATGAGACCAGAGGCCACAAGATATCTCTCTCGCTATATATATATATATATATATATATATATATCGGGTGTTCCTTTTTAATTCGAACAGATTTATTTTAAAAAAATCCGTAAAAGATACACTGATACGGTTTGTGCAGGTGAGTTATACGGCCAGGGGGACATATTATAGGGGCTAATCGTAACGATCAGTTGACTATTTAATTAAAATTAGTTAATTAACTTTTTAATTAATGAAAATTAATTAAAAAGTACAAGGCTGGGGCTACACAATAGACGCAAAAATCGCGCGGGCGCCTTACCGCAACCGCTAGCTTTGTACCTGCTCCACGAGTGGTAACTTTAGTGCACTACTACACTTCTCACGCGCTCAAAGTCTTTCTGAAAAGGACTGATTTAGTGCTCTTCGATGACGCTGAGCAAGTTTCTAATTGGAACCATATGTCTATTTTCATTAATTAAAAAGTTAATTATCGAATTTTAGTTAATTAGCCAACTGATCGTTACGATTAGCCCCTTATAATATGTCCCCCCGGCCGTATAACTCACCTCCACAAGCAGCATAAGTGTAACGTTCACGGCTTTTTTTAAATAAATCTGTTCGAACTAAAAATGAACACCCGGTATATATATATATGTTCAAATAACTTTGAAACTCAAGTAGGACTCGAGTGACAACAAGCTCCGTTAGCACTATCCCGAGTTTCACGTCCTCAAACCCGTTCAATAACAAGCAAAAAAAAAAAAAAATGGAAAGATGGCATTTGGGAGCACAGCCTGAAGAAAACTAAAGTTCACGCATATTATTGTTGCGACACAAACAACAAGTGCTAGCAAGCCCGAAGACCGAAAACGGCACCTGCTCTAACGTCTGTATAGCGCGTCCGCCTGCTCGTCGGTATCTCACCCGTATAGAAATAAACCGGCGTTACCAACGTTGTCCCCTCTCTCATCGTGATCCCTTTCTCCTTTCCAGCTTACTCTCTCCTTTCCTTCTCTCCCTCTAATCGTTCCCTCTCCGTTTAGCGGTGCTGACGTCTGACCCTGACTACTCGCATCGCTTGGCTTGCCGATAGCTCCGCGCGCGCGTCAAGGCGCACTTCAGAAATCGCGAAGAAAGGGGAGCAGCGTAAAGAGGGCGAGGGAGTTCAAAGTGGAGAGAGCTCTAAGAGGGTGTATCCTTTTTTCTTCGTTTTGACGCCAAGAAGCCGCATTTCAGAAGCGATTGCCTTCCCAGCAGGAACGGATGCGAGTTTTCGCTTTTCTGCACGCGCTCTCGGTCCAAGTGTCCCCAAAAACACTCCTACCAGGAACTGGCTCGCCCGGCGCGTGGGATTCCCTGGTGTCCCATATCATCGAGGTTTTGCGGCTTTGACTTTGACTTTGTGCCGCGTTTCCGCCTGGAAATTCGTCTGCTCCAGTCTCGCGCGCGCGCTAGCGCTCTTCAGTCGTCTGCTTTGCCTGCGAGGTGTCCCCGGACTTCCGCCACGGCTGCTGGTTCGACAGCGTTCCTGGATCGTCTTGACCACGAACGAACCCTGGCTTCGGCTTTGTCGTTGAACAAAACGTTGGCCATCCGCTTTCTCAGCCGCGGTTCGCACCCCAACCACAAGAACTGTCGGGAGACGCCGGCCTCCAGGACTGGGTCCTCGCTCGTCAAGTACATCTTCAGGAAGCCTCTTGGTCTCGATTCTCGGGCGTTCCTGGATCGTCTCGATTGAGAACGGACGCCGACTACGGATCTGTCTTTGAACTGAATCTTGGTCGCCTGTTTTCTAAGCTGCACTTCGCGCCACAGCCAGAACCACCGTCGGCAAACTTGTTTCCTCGGTCCTCACTCGTCCAGCGCATCTTAGAAACGGCTGTTGGACTTTGGACTGCAAAAGAACCGTCTTAAAGTGTGTTCAAGACACGGGTTCGTGATATTCGGAAGAGTGTTCCTGGGGTCTTTACGGAAGACAAAACTTTGAAGTATGGTTCTTGCGGCTTCTTGTCGCAAGGTATCGACAGAAATCGAGCTGGATCCTATGGTAGCTGTGCGTGATCCGGAAGCCGCCTTGAAGATTCAGAATGGACGTAAGTCTCCCAACAATTTCTGGAATTATGTGTTGCATTGTTAATTAGAAAACAAATATAACCAGTAAACCCAAAAATTAAAAAAAACTAAATTACATATTGCGCTTACGGAAGGACTACACGCGTGCCCATTACTTGAAGGGTCTAGAACTTTCAAATCTACCAGCTGAATGACGGGGAACTAATATTCGCTATGCTTATTTAAGTTTACCTTGCTGGTGGCTATCATTGATCGTGAAAGCCGTGAACAAATTTCAGACTGCCTTCAAAAGTCCGCACTTGTTACGGTTTCGCTAAATTTATTAGGTAAGTTACGCTCAAACATAACTCTCGCTTGGTTTTTTCCTAGATCTACGTTTGTGGGTGACGATCACCTCAAGCAGGCGTTTCATTCGTGGCTGGTACTGTAGTTCGAATCTAATGTGTTACTTCCTCATGTCAACCATTCCCATGGTTCACTCACTTTGGGAACCGTGACGGAGCTGACCGCAAAAAAGAAGCAGCGGTTGAAAGGTCGCCACACCAAACCACTAACGGAATTCTGCCGATTCATGTTGTCGCGAAACACGGGCGTCAGCGATTGGTTCAGTTTCGTGCGTGCCAAAGTGTCCCGGCTGGGGCGATAGCTTGCTCTACTGATCGCGATAACCCCCTGAATCGCCATCACCAAATCGGTCGGTAAAAAAGAATTCCTGTAGTCGCGGGAAATGCACTTGTGATCCCGACATTTCGCAGACTAGGCTGATAGGGGTAATCGGCTAAGTAAGGTGAATGGCATTCTTTGAGATGACTCTTCCGGTGCAGTTATGTGAGTATGCCACGGCGCGGTTCTCGAGTCCATGAACGTGATAACACTTGATTTCAATGGACGTATGAGCGTTATACTATTACTGTGTTTCTTTTTTTATTGTTTTTCGATTGTTATTATTTATTGCATTGCAAAGCACAACCTGTTTTCGTCGTCCGTATCGGATATTCTCAGCCTCTCCGCCGCTTGCACTTGCTTACAAATTTCAGTTATTTCCTAACTGAACGATGGAAAAGCATACAGTACACACCCACGTCTGAGAAAAAAAACAACAAAAAAACTGCAGTCCCTTTATTGTCTAAAACAAAGAAAATGCCCTGCGTTTTCACGACGGCATGAGTTGTTTTGTAATCATTATTTATACGTTATTTTTCTGACAACTGTTTATTTCTTGTTGAATTTTTAACGCCCCCCCCCCCCCCCCCTTTCCCTCCCTCACCGATACATCGCCATCTTGTTAGCACCGCGGAACCCGAGCCCTTTGAGTTAAACCCTCATCGTAGCCTGGGGGGCTATGCCCTCATGCTACTGATGGTCCCTTATCAGCAACCATTGATTATCTTCGATTATGCAACCGCCGCTTCGGTGATATGAAGTTTATTTCATTCTTAATTTTACAGTGTTTGTTTTTCACGTAAGCACTTCTAGAACGCAGCTCGTAAGCGCCCGTTTCCGTATTGAGAGACGTCGGCGTGACCACGCTAAATTTAACGGCATAACTGATGTCACGTGACCTCAACACCAATTCGCTTCCCCGCTAAATTTAGCGGGGAATTGATGTTGAGGTCACGTGACGTGCATTTGCCCGCTAAATCTAGCGGAGAAACTGAACTTGCTGACGTGACACCCAGTCATGTGACGTCATTTTCCCCGCTAAATTTAGTGGGAAAACTGCATTGGAGAAGGATAGGCATACCTTCCCCTCCGTACCCTCCCCCCTCCTCCTCAAGAGCTGCGCTCTAATATTTCATTACTGAGATCTGTAATCGTCTTTCACTTTTTTTAAAACTGAACTGTCATCTGATAAAAAAAAATATTTTTGCACAGAGAGTTTGCGTTACAAGTAAAAATCCCTACAAAATTTGGTTTTCAAAAATATATACATATAGCGACGCCTACTGCGTTTACAACTGTTACGCTTTTGCATAACAACTGACTCATCTTAGATGCACAGATAAATGTCTTGTTTTATCACATTAAAGGGGAAATTTTTAATAATCCTTAAGGCGGCGAAATTTTTTTTCTACTAAAGTTCTTGAGGTAGAGTCAAGTGTAGAAGTTTTGACAACCACGGGAAGAACGTTAAGAGACGGTTGCTAATGCGACGCGCTTTGTACAACAAAAAGCGTGGAACCTTCTAGATTACAGGCACCGTCTAACTTCAAAAAGGTACTGAACAAGAACTAAGTGGCAAGTAACCAGAGAATTGCTGTACAACTCTGGTATTTCAGTGTTTGTTTTTTGAAACACTGGCCAAATCGCTCCGACAAAGAGTACGCATTGTACAGAAAAAAAGGTTGATATCGTACTGGTTTTTGCGAAAAAGCCGATTTCGGAAAAGCCACACGTTCGATATAACTTGCTTCCTAAGCACATTTGAACAATGAACTCTCATTCTTTTTTTTAAGTTTAAGAGTATGGTTTTAATTAAAATCATACTGAACATTATAGAAAACCACGAAATTAGCGCACTTTACAAAATGAATAAAATAAAGCGTGCAAAACATTTTTTAACGTAAAAAAAAAAACAAAAAAAAACTGACGTGTTTTTTGAAGTTTGGTTTTCTCCGCGCCAGCAGTCCTACTACCCCGTGGCCACAGCGCGCTGCAAACGGGCATCCCAACGCATTGTTCGCACGACGAAGGTGAACCCAACAATCAAAACTTATTCTTATGTTGCCATTCAAACAGCACAGCGTTTCATCTCAACGGCTTGCGCCCCCATACTTCCCTTCAGTGGCGTACCAACTTGTTTTTGAGTGGGGGGGGGGGGGGGGGGCAAACTAGACCCCCCCCCCCCCACCCAAGGGCCGGGGGGCGGTGCTCTTGGTATCTCGGGCGCCGCCGACCCGTGTTTGCCCTGCCCAGTGGCGGCTGTTTCAGGGGGGGGGCAAAACACGTGCCTTGCCCCCCACTTTTGAGAGCTGGAGGGGGGGGGGGGCAAGCGCCCTTCTTGCCCCCCCCCCCCCCCCCCCGGTTGGTACGCCCATACTTCCCTTTCTCTCATTCGCGGGAGGTGAGGCGGTAGTTGCACGCTTTCGCCACCGGTGCAAAGACGCGCTCGGGATAGGAAACAGAAACCTAGAAACGCGTCCAACTTGAGTATTCTCTCATAATGTCGTAAAACACTGAGCGTGCCTTATATTTTTGTAAAGAGTGCTCATTTAGTGTTCTTTTTTTATGATGCCCAGATAGTTTCTGATTAAAATAATTCGTTTTACGTTAACTAATTATAAAGTTAATTAACCAATACAACAGCAACCTTTATTTTTTCAGCGGTGCGTATTTTTTTGGACGAGCGATCTGGGGCTATCGCGTCGTGAGACATTGACTGCATCAACGTACGCCTGGCTCCCGTCACTGGCCTTTATGCAGTACCTCGCACGTCAATCAAAAGAATCACGTCAATCAAAATCCCCCGCTCGTGACGTCATCGGAACCTCCGTGTGACGCAGTTGAATCAGGAGTTACCATTGTCTGCAGCGTCTTTTTCTTTTGTTTGCCTTTTGTTCTTACGGCTTAGTCTGCTCTATCTGCGGTACATCCGTTTGAGCAGGTTACCTATCGCTAAGAAATGATACTTATTTGGCGTGCTTCAATATATATTTAAAACAATTAAAAAAACGAACATATTTTGAAAAAAAAAAAAGTGGTTCGTCAGAAAATTGGTTTAAAATACAGGTTAGTACCATAAACGCTTCCATTGCAAAAACGCACGCCTATAAACAATGATATAGTCCCGTTTAAATCATACTTCACCAACGTAATGTGTTCATTCGGAACATTGTAGTTATATCCAGTTCGGATACCCGTCTTCCGCGCGCTGCCATCTTTGAGTATACTGGGCTGTGGTAGACTCGTAGGGTATTCCCACGAATAATCGAATTACTTGGAATTGATTCTATTTGGGGGTGATTTTGTAATCATTCGATCACTTTTATTGGGAAGTGATCGAAAGAATAGTTTGATTACGTTTGGAAGTATCAAAAATTACATGTGACCGTTACTAATCTTCCCTTCCCCTTTCGAATGGCGCCCTTTGTTTCTACAAGTTAGCTGTCGAGGAATCCTCGAACCTAATCTCCGACACGTGGAAGGATTACCGAAAATCGTTGATTTTAGAAGACGAGTAGTCTGGAATTCGCCGATTCTGATACCCAATAATGGGCAGCACGAAAGAACCGTCGTCAAACCGGCCGAAAAATCTGTTGTATAAAGCATGTGAAGTACTGTCGGGACCGGTTATAACGCGGTCAACGGGAATCGGAAATCACTTCGCTATACCCGCAAATTCGTTATAACCGACTTCGGTTATAACGAAGTGCAAAAGGGAATGAGAACACTTGATCGATTCGCTGTAGCCGCTATTTCGTTATATAACCGACTTCGTTATAACCGGTGTAATCGAAAAAGAAACGGTTACGTTTTTAAGTAACGGTCAATTACTTTTCTTGTAAAGTAATCAAGCAATCTGATTATTTTTTAACCAAGAGCAATCGTAATTGTAATCGAGTACTTTTTTTTTTCTCCAGTAACGTGTACAAAAGTGGCTGTGGAAGCCGTTCTGAACATAAGGGCTAGCCCTCTTCTGAGTTACATCAGACGTACACAACCCGGTGAAACCGCAATTTTCACCTGGGTTATAAGCGCTAAATAAGTGTGTAACCAAAGAAAAACAACAACATTATTTTATGGTTTTATTAAAAAACAAAAAAACAAAAACTAAGGAGTTTGATGGCATGTGTTTCCGGTATGTCGTCTTCAGCTAAAGACTTCACGTTACCCGATAAGGTTTATGTAGGCCAATCGATAAACTCCAAGTTGGCAGAGTGCGGTACTCGAAAGAAGATTACGTTGCTCGTGCGTGAAGTGCGAGATCCGCGGTGTCTCGTTAAATGCCGATTTGTCGGACGACACACCGATATCTAGACCCGTAAGGTTTTTGACGAATAGCCGTTCTGATAATTTGGTC